GATTGTTATATTTTATGGCACAAGAGTCAAATTAGGCCAATGTTTCTCAAATTTTCAATATTTGCGACCCAATATTCAATCATAATTTTCATCGCTCCCCTTTTCTTACAACAAAATAACAATATATTGAATTCAATAATACTACACTTTGACGCTAAAGCTACAATGCGACTTTAACCTCTTAAATGCCACGACGTATATAAACGTTTCACTTGCCCAAAGCGTTAATTAACTAGGACGTATATATACGTCTTTATGAAGTATCATCTTATTTGTACACCTCTATCCATAAAATTATTCCGAAGGCTTTGGAGTGCATTAAAAGGATATTGACAGTGTTTGCGAAGGATTTACTTATTACAGATGATATCTGCTTATTTATTCCTCTCCCCCAATACATCACAAACGCATGCCTACGTGAAAACGGGTGGCATTGGGGAGCAAATCGACCAACTTTTTATCTGAAGTTAAGGATTAATTATAAACCATATAGATTATCAAGATAAATGTAATTTTTGTATATAATTTTATATATGACAACACCATGGGTCATTGGGAATTATTAAACTTGTCCTAATAAAATTGTTAAATTATAAAATACATTGCGAGCAGTACTGATGCATTTATAAGTTTATATCAGTGTAAATGTGTATTTTATTTTTTATTGTGTAAGAATGTATTATGTATGTTTACTTTCGGTAAATTAATAATTTTTTAAAAATAATCTTTTTTACGACTTTTCAATATGCTCGCACCTCTCTCGTATAGTTATCACGCCCCCTAGGGTGTAGTGACCCACAGTTTGAGAAACACTGAATTAGGCTAAGCTGCGTCCAACAATGATTTTAAAAATACTAAATTTTTGAAAACTAGCCCTAAATCATACATAATTTGATCAAATTAAGTTATTTTCAAAAGGCTTCAATAAAATTTTAATTAAAAAAAAATAATGTAAAAGGGCTCATGATTTCCTCAAAGTGGATTAAAGTTGAAGAGTTGAAAGATACCCAATTCGATCTAATGAGTTTCCATAAAAATCAGAAGTGTTGTATATATGTATAGTCAGAATTATAATTATTATTTATTTATCGATACCTGGAAACCAATTTTAGGAGGTACTTGCGAAGAATTAAGAAACGATGTAAAAACAATGACATCTCTTTCGGGTTAGACAAAATTTTCGTATTAACCATATCAGCAGAAGGAAATTGTTTGATGAGACATATTCGCAGCTTTAGTTCTAAAAATATATGTGATAAAACTTCTCACATGTAAAGCTTCCAAAAAAATATATCATGTTTATTTTTCACTACGATAATTCAATTGTATTCACAGAATTCAAACAGAGTAATAAACTAAATAACTTCAACGCTACCGCGTAAAAACGCTATCTATTGACAGTCTTTATCACTATTGATTCTACAACTGAAAGAAAATATATCATCTCCCAGCCATTCAAGGGATTTCATTTTTTCCCTTCTCGTTCCCGTATAGCATTTTGCTTCTTTAAAAAACTGAAACCCATCAATAAAATAAGGGCATAAGCAACCAAATTGTCCAAAGAATTCTTTAGAAGAGATCTTATCCCTTTGAGCCGAAGAGAAAAATTTCAATTGTGAAGAATATCAATTCGTTTAAAAGCAAAATGAAATAATTTTTCTTGTGAAAGAAAAAACCCTACAAATCGAAAAAGAACTGTAAATTTTCTTTTTATAACCCCGTCCTTGATCTACTTAGAAGCGTGGGCGTGCTTAAAATAAAAATCCATGACAACGGCCCTGGGGTCAGCACTGGACACAAACTGACCAACGATGAATGGCGATGACCCTAGCTGCACCCTTTTTTTATGCTTTCCTGCCGAGCAAATTATTTATTGGGAACCATTAATTTACCATAAGCAATGCTTAATACTTCCGAAATATCCATCAGCATTAGGGACTTGGACGTAGTAAGATTATCGATCTGGCTTAGACTTGATCCATTGTTAGGGGGGCAACCTTTGACTTTTGTATTAAAACTTGTTCCTTTGTTGGGCGTGGATCATTCGCCCTGCAACAGGTTGTCACCTATGATTCAATGGGTTATCGCACAAGCACGGCTTAACCCTTTCATCGGCTGTTTATTTCTCTTTTGAATTTTTCACAGTTTGTTATGTTTTATTAACAATTAATAGCATTTAAGGGAATATATTTTATTTCGCCGAATTTTATGTTTACATTTAAATTTTAGGGGTGGGAAGAATACTTTCCAAAGACCATTCACCGTCATAAAGAAAACTAAATTTGTAGTATCTGACTTACTGTTTGGCGGAAGATTCTTCAAGAGTTGGCGACGGTCCTGCATCTGCAGGGGAGGGGTTGCTGTTTTGTGGGGAAGGTGATTGGCCCTCGAACGAGGCGGTCAGGACAAGAGAAAGTCCCTCGTTTTTGGAAACGCTGGACTGTTTTGGGGTGAAGGAAATTCAATTCCTTCGGTGAGAAACCGACGCACAGCGCGTGGTCTGGTGTAATAAGTAGAGATAGTTCCTTAGGAGAGGCTTTAACACGAGAAAGATGGACTGTGTTTGTTTGATTGTAGTGATAATCGAGATAATTGTGTGATTTGAGAAGCTTTTAGAAAAAGTAATTGAGATTACATCACAAAATTTAATGGTAATTATTTGCTATGAAAAGATAAGCATGTTGCAATGCACAAGGGGACATCACATTCTGCGCACATATAGCGGGTCCTCTTTTCTTGTCCCTTTCTACGACATTTCCTTCATGGTGTATAGTTGTAAACCATCTTTGGCATATGATTTCCCACACTGGCTAAATGCACATCATCCGGAACTATACACTTCTTTGCTTGGAAGCAGAACGTCCTTTCTTTTTCTTGAAAATACCCGTCTTTTAAATTTCTCACGTGTTCGGTGGTTTTTCAGTGATGTCGACAATTTTGATTCCTCTCGGCTAAAAAAAATTCGCTTAATATAATCAAGTCTCAATGAATACACTCTATGAATACTGTTTCTAGAATTTTTAGATTAAATGTTTTCTCCTGTTTTTTTTAAACATAGCTATTATAAGACATGTACAAATCAAAATTGATTTTTCATCACTTTTTTTCGAATTAAATAACATTATTTCAACTTACATGGGCTTTTTTGGGTAACGTGGAAGGTATCGACTTTTTTTATTGTAAAAATCGTACCTTTTCTATAAATTTTTGGAGAAGCCCCCGTAAAGAAAAATTTTGGCGTTTAAGCTCAAAATATCTATTACTTACATTACTGGGTGTAAGGTTTCAAAGAGAGAGGGTCAACAATCCATGACTCAAAAGAGGTACCTAGTTAAAATTTAACCCTCTCTTCATAATTAATATAAGAAATAGAAAATAATTAAGCTGAAGTTGCATAAAAATTAATTCGCTATCAAAAGTATTAAAGTGCGTAAAACATGCAATGAAAACTCTTCCTTAGGGCGAGACTACAGTTGAACAGTGGCTGAGAGAGGAGCTAATTGGATAGGAAAAGAACATAAGCAATGAGTTCCGCATTTTGGAGGGGGAACAGAGAGCTGTGCACAGCTTTGATTGATTAAAGAGAGAGAGAGTACACATTTTAAATGATTTCTAGACAGCTCTCTCATTAGTGAGTACAGTGTTGCCATTGTTGTTTATAAAGAAATGGAATAATCATTCAAAATAACCTGAAAACTTATGAAGGCAATTAGAAATATATGCTATAAAATTATTCCTGAAAGGATAAAAATAATCACGTGAAAGATTGATAAGTTATTAATGAGGAATTATGGTGTTTAAAGTTGATAAATTCAATAGATTCAGTTCTCATGGAAAGGAGAATTTTCAGTATTTTTATGGAATTATTGAATGTTATTAACTCTAACTACCAAAAAACATCCCCGCCAAAAATTAATATAAGTTATATATGCACAAAAAGCAGTGCAATAATATAATTATATTCAAATTATTATTATTTTTATTTGAAAAAAAATTTTTTTTTTAAATTTTATCATGGGTGGTGTCAAACAATATCCCCCAAAAGGAATCATTTGCTAATGCGTTAATAAAAGTTTTTCTGAATTTTTAAGAGTTTGTCAACTGATCATTTTTTTATAATTCGCTTTTGATATTATTTTGTATATAACTATATTGCAAGAATGAAACTTTTAAAAGAACTGTACAGAAAGTCTCGAAATTAGATATTTAAAAAATGTCTGTTTAAAGCTAGCTTGCAAGCTTTTAAAAAAATTTGCATCGAAGAAAAAAATTTATATTTCATACGGATTTTAAAATTATTTTGCTTAAAACCTTTAAAAAGTAATGAAATATTCATCGAATAAAAATAATTCCTTCCTTCATAATGGAAAATATTGATTTAAAGGATACACACAAAATTTTTCGTCGTACGGAATTTTCTGTTCGGAATCCAATTTTTTACAATACAGATTCATGCTATTTAAAACAAGTTTTAAAAAATCTAATTTAAATTTATTTTTAATATATTTTTTTCCTTTGATAACTCTTTAACATCTCAAAAATATACTTATTTAAAATAAAAGCATGGGTTCACTAAAACTCCTTACGTGTCTTCATTTCTGTAGCCTTATACAACTTCAAAGAAATTTCTCTCCTTTGCATCCCCCTCCCCGAAAAAAAATTGTAATCATTTTAAGATTTTAAATCAAATTAAGGTATATTTATGTTTTACGAAATTAATTTTTTTATCGAGTGATTTCACTGTAACAAGTAATAAAAAAAGTTTAAACTCAATTCCTACTTAGGTCAACAAAGAAAAATTTTATTTCAGTTACTTTTTATTAAATAGTTTCAATTTAATATATATATATATAATGACAGAATCCCAATTTTAAGTGGCAAAATAGAAAACGATTTTCCAATCTATATATGGTATTAGATCATTTTTTTCTTGTTTGTTACTATTTATTCATTAATAAATTTAATTATTTTAATAAAATAGTACAGTAAAAAAGAAATAGCATTTCAGGTGGGATTAAACCCAAAACCTTTGGATTATAAGTCCAACGCGCTATCCACTGCGCTACAGGAACACAACGAATGATTTTGCTTTCTATATATGCTATTGGACTATTATTTTTGTTTGTTATTATTTATTCATTTTTTAAATTTAATTAATATTTTAAAAATTGTATAAATATCAAGTGTCATACACTACAAGTTCAAAAAGATGTATTTGAACTTGAGTGGATGAATAGAAAGTATTTTATTAACGATTGAAAATTTGAACAAAATATACATATATATATAAAAACAGGGAGAAAGTGAATTAATAGTAGGAGTTGAAAAACAGAATTATTATTTAATTTTAATATTCGATTTTTATGTATATCGTATTTAGGAAATAATACATTTCAAGAGAGTCTGCCTGCTTCTTAATCCATTACGTATTTATCTAATTGGTCACACACAAGTATCATATATCTAGAAATTCATACATCTTAATCCATTTTTAAATGGCTGAAATTATCTCCTTATCTAGTTCATTCTGATTCTCTAATGATGAAATTCCTTTTGGAAATGGGCCAGATTTAACGTTCTAAAATGCATTTAAGAGTGGTGAGTAGTAGCGCCCTCGATACTAACGTTAGTGTTAAAGCGGGGTAACCCCAATCGTTCTTTTTTTACAATTATTTTTATTGTACACGATAAAGAGTCGTGAATTTTAAAAAAAATAAATTTATCTACATTTAAAGACTTTTTAATTTGAGAAAAATTCAATCAAACTGAACTAAAATGTTTCAAAATGTGCATGACTTTAGTAAGGGATACAAATCACAGACACTTTACGCTCACATTACACGAATTATATTTGTAGGCAAAACTCTCATATTTTGTTCAAGTTATTGTAGATTTTTGTTCCTTTGATGATCGACAAACAGCATGTTGAACTACTGCTTGCTTATGTCTTGTGTTGCACATGTGGCTTCCTATCTTTCTTGATAGAGTTTTTTTTAGGTAGCATTTGCAAAAAAAAAAAAATTTCCTTTCAATCTCAAACGTTTCATGCTCATCGCTTTTCTCAAATTTACTTTCGCTATCATGATTAATATCCATTATTACATCAGATTCTTCCCTTGCTTGATCTGTTTCAACGTCATCCAAATAGGGATCACAGATGCCCATTTCTTTTTTCAATTCTTACTATTAGTTCACACTCTCCCTATATATCTTGCTCAATTTTCCCTTTAAAAAAATATTTCATTTTTCCCCTTTGCAAACCCTTTTTTAAAAAATTTGACTGCTAATACAGTTTATTCAAATATTAATTCATTAATTCTATTTAATAACTAATAAATAGTAACAAACAAAAATAATAGCCCAACAGAATATATAGAAAGTTAAATTGTTTGCCGTGTCCATGTAGCGCGATGGATAGTGCGTTAGACTTCTAATCCAAAAATAGTGGGTTTCAAATCCTACCTGGGATGGTCCAATTTCTGAGAATGTGATTTCTTTTTACTATACTATTTTGTTGGAATATATAATCACTTTTTTTGCCATTTAATAGTGTAATTCTGTCGTATGTATATACATATTTATATTGTAATTATTTTATAAAAAGTAACTAAAAAAAAATTGTTGGCCTAAGTAGGAATTGACTTTTAAATTTGTTTTCATATTAATTGTTTATATTCTGTTCATTTACATTTATAAACCATTATGATTCGTACAACACAACTATCAAAACCACTAATTCGTTCGGGAAAATGTTGCATGTGGATAGAAAATGGTTTGCAACAAAAGTGGTCGCGCGGGGAACTCAACCACAACAAGTACCGGGGTCTCAGGGGTGTTAACTTTGTCTCGAGGCTGAAAATATAAACAATTTTAAAATAGACAGTATTCTTTGAAATAAAAATTAAATTCGAATCTTTAGACATTATTTATAAGAGAAAGGCTTAAAATGTAAAATGTTTCAAATATAATCATAATTTTTAACATTAAAAGCATCTGAAATTAAGAAACATTTCTGTGAGAAATATTAAGTTTTACTTTGCGCATGATGTTTTCTAAAACTGTAGCTCTAATAACTATGGCAATAAGGTGATTTATAAAGTTAAATGTATCCTTATTACATTGTAGCTGTTTTTTAATAAATAGAGTAATAAATCATATTGTAAAAATAAAAAGATTACATTTTTAATTTTTTTAAAACTTCAATATTTATAAAATATTTTCAAATAAAAATGATACCTAATACTAAAATTCGGTAGGGTTTAAAGAGTATGATACATTTTATATTTCTACTAAGCTTTAAACATCAAAGGCTACTATTTTAGAAAAATAGCATGCGCAAAGTAAAATTTTCTTTATATTTGTTACAGCAATGTTTCCTATTTTCATATGATTATAATTTTTAAAATTGTGATTATATTTTACACATTTTGTACTTTTATGAAACCTTATTTCTTTAGATATAATGTGTAAAAGATTCAAATTATTTAATTTTAATGTCAAAGAATTCTATCTATTTTAAAATTAATCATATTTTCCAGCCTTGAGACAAAATTAGCCTCCCTGAGACCTCTTAAGATTGTGAATAAACGTTTACCTCTTCCAAAGAAAGAGGGAGATATGTGACAAATACATTTTAGTTCCCATGAGGACTGATCTACAGAAGGATACTGTCAAGGTCATTTTTAACAAATAAGCATTTTCCCCAGAATTAAAGATTTTTATGAGCCTGAGGTAAATTTGTGCGACCACTCCCGGGTTAACCATCCCTTTTATATAAATTTAATTTTTTCTAAACAAATATGCATTAAAACATGGGTGGCTAAATTATGACTGTATGAGGGGCCACATTGCAACAAAAAAGTTTGCTGGGTCACACATAATTTTTATTTCAATTTGTTGAAAAAATGTTTTAACTATGTAGTTTTATTAAAATAAATTAATTTTTCTTTTTCTTATAATTTTTAAAAATATTTTAATTAGATATGTATATTGGTACATATTTATTTTAAATTTGTAAAAGCTTCGTTTCATTTAGTTTGGATTTTTCATGAAGATAAAAAATTGAAATTAATGAGGTGGATGAATTTGCTTTTGTTGAACAAGCAAATAGATGTCGGGTTCAAAAGAAGAGGTTGAAATTCTTAATGCATTTTAAAAATGTTTGTCAGTGATCTTTGTCCTGTTTTTGGTTTTTGTATGCTTCATTCTAGAAAATAATTGTTCACAAATATAGATACTACAAAAGCTGAAGACATTAATAAAGCATCATTGTGAAAATTAGGATATTTATATCGGGGTAGGTAATCTTCATATAAATCACCAGTAAAGAAACATTCCCAAATTTTTCTTTCAGTTGAATGTCATTTTGCAGTTCAATGCATTTCATTTGAAAATTTGAAGGTATTGAAGGTAAAAATTCGCCGCGTCGAGTGGATACACACCATAATTTGATATGTAAATTGTCATGGCATACTAAGATTTTTTTTATTTAAAGTGTCAACGAAAATAAGTGTCAACGAATTAATTATATATGAAAAATATTGAAAACATTTATTTTTTCAATAATAATGTGTAAATTTAAATATATTCATAATTTGCTTTTGGGCCGCATTTTAAAGGCTTTTGGGTCGCACTTCAGACAAACATGCATGTCTGTTTAGTTGTATACATTTATTAAATATTATAGTAGCTTTTAAAATTAAAGGAATTGCAAAATAACAAATGTTTTGTTTTTCTTTCTTTTTAAAGATCTGCTCCTTCCAACCAAGGTCCCTACATGAAGACTCCCAGCTACGATCTCACAGAAGAACAGTTGATGGCAAACATTGAAAAAGAATTCGAATGTACTATATGACATTACACTATAAAAAACTGTGTACGGATTCTACCGAAACCGTGTCGTCCACAGAAGAATCTTTTGGTAATAATCTTCGAAAGGACGACACTGACGAGAAATAATTGCCGTTTTCCTGCAATATATGACCCAAGCAATTATTAAAAAATAAAATTCCCTCGTGACTTAGTCCACAGACTTGCAGTGTTGCTCTTCATGTCACATTTTGGGAGAAATACTTCATCGTGTACTTATCAAAAAAACAGAGATAATTTTGGTAATTTAAGAAAAGTTCTCAAATAATCAAATGTGGTAAATTGTACGAGATCGAGTTGAAAAAGAAAAGAGATGGAGCAATACACAAGTGTTCTTCACTTCCTTCAGGGCAAAAGGAATTGAAAAAAAAAAAAAAAATTCTGTTAATTTATGTGATTATGGTTATTAGTGAAGTCTAGTGGCCGAATGGTAGTGTATCGCTCTTCCACGCCACAGCTCCGAGATTTGAACCCCGGGCTGGGCAAGGTTCATTCAGCCTTTCATCTCTTCAGTGGGTCGATAAATAAGTACCAAGCTTGCTTGGAAACTAATCACTGGGACTTTCACGTCAGACTGACCACTTGACCGGAACATCTGCTCATGCACCTCAGTGCCCAAGGTTCACGTATACTGAGATGGGCACCGCAGGAATTGGCCTCTCGTGGGCTGTTAGGCCACTGAGTTAGTTTATGGTTATCAGTAACACATTGAATGTGACTGTGCTACAATCGATACAAAAAATGTACAATAGATTTTCTTTTGATATTTAATTGTACCTGAATGAAGATTCGGAGATATTAATGTATGTTTTAAAATGGAAATAACAGATAGGGTGTTAGCCTACATCTTTTGGTGCCAAGCTGTTTTCATGCGTAATTTCGGTAGATTTTCAAGGCCTGGTGGTGGGGGGTCACTACTTAATACATTCTATAAAATGATCTTTAATTAACATTCTATTACAATGCCTTACTAAGTACCGTTGATAGGGAAAGTACTTTCAACTGAGTGTTTGAAATTATTCCAGGTAGGAGTAGTTATGGGTGAAGTTTTTGATAAACGTAATAGAGGCCAAGGTTTTTCTAAGGGAAAATTTGGTATTTGATTGATTTAGTATTTCAAGAGGAAAATCAAAAGTAAAAACGCTGGTTTTTTTATTCTTTTACTGAATTTTCAAGTTCAATGGGAATTATCTTTTAAAGAAAG